TTGGCAACGAAATTGGGTTATTCTCCCCCAGATTTAATAATTGTGGAGTGTCTATCGCGTCTTTAAATGCATTCATTTTCTGACCTTAGTCATTTGGTTTAATAGGGATGTTCATGTTGAGCTCCCTAAGATAACACATAAATGGCGCAATATTATTTACGGTAGTTTCCTTCCTAACTCCAATATATTGCATTGTGAAATGTTGACTTTCTGGTAGTGCAAATTTCTGTCTGCTATTGTCTAGTAACAGAATACAATAAACGTAGGTGCACTTGCTACAGTCTTCAAAATTGCATTTTAGAGGACTTCCCTGGCCTTAAACTTTGCAAACAAGATGTGAGTGTAAAAACAAATGCCTTGTATAACAGGACAGAAAACAATCAGCTAGCATCTCACCGTGCTGTGTTATTGTCGTGTATATTTGCACCATTCCATCAAATCCACTATTTTTGCAGAGTTTGCATTAATGGCCCCCGCTTCCTCAGCCCTGCAGATTTTTGTACGATTTCCCATATTGGTTATGCAGTCTCAGTAAAAAGCAAACTGAGCGTGGATATCATATCTGATCAGATACGGCTGCAAATGCTATTTTGAATTACGAAGGTCCCAATTTGTTGTGCTCATACAGGTGGAAGTAAGCCGAAAAGTCATACCCGGATGTCCGCTTGCTTACTGCGCTGACTTTAGACGCGGTCGTTAACCTCACCAAGGGAAGGAAGAATTCCTGACACAAAATTCTAATGATCCATCCATTCCGAACTCTCCCAACTAGCCATCTTTCTTTAATTGTTTTGCTCACAAGGAAGGCTCCTCTATTCACTCTTTCGAGAATTGCAGTTATCACAGATAATCTACGCAATGTCTGTTATAAGAAATTTTTATACTTCTCTTGCAGGCGGTAGGACTTCTTCTCTACCTCGTCCTTCATTCAGAGAATTAAATTGTTATAGGTAGCATCAAACAGAAGCACTATTGTAAAGTAGCAAACACATCGCATTCTTCAACAGAATTACTTCCCACAGACCTTCAATCCTTTATTATTATGGGGCTTCACTTCGCTTCATTACTTAATCCCATCGTTTACCTTCACGTAATTGATAAATGAAACTCTAGTTTATGATATCCATATTTTAAATACGAGGCAGATCAGCGTAGATTTCTTAATTTTGGTTGTTGGATCCAATGCCATCGTAGCAATACAAATGACTAAACTGAACAGGTTGATCCGGTTTACTATTGGGCTGACCTACGTCGCATTAAATTCCTTATTTTTAATCATTAATGGTGACTTACCAGATTGCCTAAAAACGACTTCATAAATCAGGAGCATCGTTCCTCACCAACCCATAAACAGACGTATTTTTTTCGTTCCATGAAAAGCGCAGTGAAGCCATCTGAGCACTTTTTTCTAATAAGCGTAAAGTAACAGATTCTTCTAGGTGTTTTGATTTATGTTGTCTGAGAGATTAGTCGGCTTCATTAGTCGAAAATAAATTAATGTGTGAAAGTGGCGGTAAATATTCTATATTAATTAAACACTAAAGGTTTTCTGAATATTAAAGTGGGATAGCAGCTGTCAGCCCCTTAGTCTCCTCTAAGTTCCCTACATGTCACATTTAAAAAGTGCTGGCACACATTTTCCTCACCAACGATTTAGCAAACGTATTCAGTTTGCAAACAAACACGGTTCGTTAGGATCTGTAGACGAAAACACGCGTCAGTATCAGAAATAAATCCTCTATCAGCCTCTTGCAAAGATTTGGAATGCATTGTAGTCTAGATTTTGCGTGTGGTCACCTTGCGTGCAAAAGCAAGAATGCGTGAGGTAGCCTGCCAAAGGGACAGTATGGAGAAACGAGACGTGCCTGCGTTAATCAACTTCATTTCCATCAATTGGCGCGCAGAGCAACAATGTCCCATTTGAAAGCAAAGCCTTCACCAAATGCACCGTGGACCGCGCAGAGGGCATGAAAGCAGGCAGACATCAACTTCTAGCTAATTGAAGTGGTTAATATCCGATCTCGTTATTTGTGACCTAAAACGGACGGCTTGTGATAGTCGCGCGCGTGTTACCAAATGGACAGACATCAGTGCTGCTCCTAACCTCAGCCTACTTCGGATCAAAAAATTCCAATTTGCCCTCAAATATTGGCAATTTTAATCGAGTTTCTTCACAAACTCTTTTTTACTATTAAAACGCATAACCAAAAGATCAACCTTTATTTGTCTAGCACAACTCGTATTTCTCTCAATTTATTTAAGGAAAGTAATGTTTATGTTTAACCTATCAACCACTGAGTCTAATTTACTCACATCTAGACAAATCGGTCGCTCTTCCATGTCTACCTTTTTGTAAACGACAAAATTTATAAATTATTTCCGCTTCATTTTGACAGTCAAAAATGGTTGATGGTCTGGATTTCCTTTGATGCCATATTTTCACGAGGCAACAATTAAGTAAGCGAATTTCATTTTAAAGTCAACTTATCTGCGATGTTGTTGGCTTTAAAAACAAAAATTTAGATATGCATAACTCTAGTGTTCAGTACAAGTTTTGATGTTCTTAGTGGGTATAGTGACTTAATCAGAAGAGTGACTACTTTCCTTACCAATAAAGCGAAATGCTTTTTACTATCAGAAAAATTAACATTAAAGAATCTTATGGTACACTAAGAGTGATTTAAAGGTAGCCTAATTCACTTCTTACACTTCGGTAATTTGTGCTGAACTCTTTATTCGGCACTTCACGAAATCCTGCGTTTAGGAATGAGCTGGCGCGGAGATAGGATTCTGTGAATAGCTCTAACGCCAAAAAGGACCCACCGCCAAGCTATAAAAATACCATGCATTCTTCACAAATATCAGCTCATATTGAGAACGCTCATGAGAGGGTAGCCAGAGAAACATTTACATAGTTCAAATATTTCTAACATTACCAGTAGAGACTAACTTTTTCAGTGAATCTCAAAGAGGATTTTGGACTTGAGTTATATGGTCTTTGTTAAAAAGATATCACCTTCCATTGCATGCTAAGAATACACAAAATTTCTACCTTTAAATATGTGCACACTAAATGATACGGCAAGAGAAAGTAATTTCCGATGCAGTCATCTGGCCGCTGGTTTATTGCAACCTTGAGTAGTTTTAGCGATTGTTCTCTTATGCATTCCCATGTTCCTGTTCAAACAATGAAGGCATCCTGCTTCTTCACCCGGACGTGGACCAGTGCTGTCAGCCTTTTGAGCCCCTCCAACCCTTCTGTTTTGAAAATCTACGTTAAAACCCACAACGTGGCACCCATTTACGGTTACCTATTGTGATGCTTATTTTTGAAAAACAGCTCCATTGTTTTGTTGCGATAGCAACCCACAAAGAACTATTGTATTCGGAACGGTTTTTCTCTACTCCAACACAGCAGTGATTTCTTTTTCATTGATTTACTTCACTAACCTGTGCTGGCATTGTTGCAAGGCAACTTATAATCACTCTGTTTGTGGCACAAAAACTGACATACTTAAGACCGAAATTGGACCACTTGTTATAATACCTAGATTTCAATTTGGCTTCCGAACGCACTTTAATCGAATTACATTCTACAATTCCCCGCCATATGAAGTATTCGATTTCACAAGTCTTCACAGACTCCCTGCTTTTTAAACTACTTTGTCGCATTCCTGCTTTTTCCACTTGTAGCCTGTAGAATTTTCTTGTCGTCTCAGTTTATTTGTCGTAAAGGTTTCTTTTCGAGTATTCGTGGCTACTGCACACTGGAAGTCATTTTAGATTGCTTTCATCGAAGCGCGGTTCCGTAACGTTTGGAAGTTTGATATTCTTTTAAACCAAGCAAGTCCTTATGGAAAAATTTATGGTCCGTTTGAATGCACTACATAGGTGCAATAGGGCGCACATAATTTATTAATTACGTTTGTTTCCTTCGTCCTAATTTTCCCAGTTTCTAGGCTTTTCTGACTCCGTAGCTCTTACAATTTGTCGCATCACGATGACAGGCTTTTAGGGAACCATAAATCCTATTAGATATAGAAATGACAAATGAAAATCTCGAATGGTCAGATGTAAAAGTGATCTTGAAGAAATTTCTTTTAATCACCACGTTGTTAAAATGATCAACTCAGAACAGTCGCCGGTGCACGTACATGCACGCACAAATATGGGTCCCACGGAACGAGAAAGGGAGAGAGTCATTTAGGCGAATGTGAATTTCGTGTAGTAGCATGCGCACATGCTTTTAACATGCATTATGCACTTTTCTATTACTAGCCCGATATACGCATGCCCTACATGTTCTTAGCAAACCTCAGAGTGACCCCGATATTTTACTTTGGATTGGGCACTTTTTGCAACAGACATTAGGATTCGAAGAAGCTACTTCCAATTCTCATTTCGTATTTTAGTGATGTACGCACCGATGATCGTATAGCACATCCGGGCAACAATAGAGAAATGAATAGTCTCAGCCTTAGTGATAAATGAAACTCAAAATGTTTTTGTTAACAAGTACTAGGCTAGAATTAACTTAATTATTCCCCTTGTTCATGTTCCAGTAAACCGGTGTACCCATGAAATTGGGTACGGTTACTAGAATGGACTACTTGGAGAATAGACAAAAGTATCCAGCTTCGATGTAATGATAGTTGTGATTTTTGGCTTCCTTATATAGTTACTTCTAAAAAATGTTACATAAACTATCAAACTCGGCCACTGGAAACAAAGTCATGGTAAATGACAATTTTGAGTAATTAAAGGTGTTGGGGAGAATAAAGTCCCTTCCCACAGCGTGATAACCTTGCCAATATTTTAAAAGAGAAAACAGTTGCTGTTTATTATGGGCATAAAGTATAAAAAGAGGTTGAAATGAGAAATGGTAGTGAGAGAGGCAGGTGGACGAGTAAGTTGTTCACCGCAGGGGCATAGAAACGCGAATATCACAACCACAACACCAACAGCCATCATTGTATCATCAACGTGTGCACATAATGCACTCAAGCAAAAGGAGAGCAAAAGGGACTCACATCTGCCTCACTTCTTTTCTCTGTCTGTGACATCATTCCTAACTCCTCCTGTTTCAATGAGGAGTCGCTTCTTGATTGGCAATCCCAAGAAACTGGCGGAATCACCAGCACTTCATTCTGGTGCTGTTGTTCCTGCTGCTGTTTAATGGCTGTAATGTTCCTGAATGTGCCTCTGTCCATGGTATTTCTTTGCGGAAGGAGGATCGAACGATCTTTGGATTGAGCTCCCAACACGTGAATGTTTTGAGCGTAGTACGCGAGTTGCGACTCGGGATGCAAGTAGCCCTCACAACCTGGCACCAAGGCGGGTTTTAGCACCACTGAAGTTACGGGCGAAAGGGAGGAATATGCAGCTGCACTGTCATTTCCACTCTTTCCCGAGCTCAGCGTATCCGCTTTTGCCTTATAGTAGATATTTCCAGTGCTGTCCGATGACGAAATGACTGCTGAGAAGAGGTTTTTCATTTGATCTCCATCGTTCAACAACTGGGATGGGGAATGAACGCTGATTATGGACCCATTGCTGGTGCACAGCCATTGGTCTTGTTTTGTCGTGGGCATCCGAATTTCTTTCATACATGTGCTTCCACTGCGATTTACCTGATTAGCAAACAGTAGTGATCCTCGATTGCCATTTGGTTGGGTCAAACGAGCTTGCTTCTTCCAGTAGCGGAAGTAGACAACAAGACTCAACGTCGCGATGAGAAGAAGAAAAACTAAGCCCAAAGCGAGGAGAACAACCAAATCGCCTGCAATTCGTGGCTTCTGCTTTGTCCCAATAGCAGGAGAATGCTTGCGGTCACTGACCTGGTTACCATTGACGATAATACTTGGCTTTTTTAAAGGTGGACGACCAACATTCACAGCGAATTTACTGCTGGCTTTAGCCACTGCTGCATTGCTTTCGTGGAGTGATGATCTAGGTGAAGAGTCGTCTACTAGAACGAAAAAAGTTATTGAGCTGGACCTTGGGGGTACACCGGCGTCAGTGACTTGCACTTTGAAGACATGTACTCCTTTGTCCTCTTCTCGCATGTCACGGGATAGAAATATTATCCCTGTCGTCGGCTCAATGTCCAAAAAGTCGGAACTCTGGATAACCTCAGCATCTTTTTTCGTTTCGTTTTCGCTGCTGTAGTTTATCATTTGGATGTCTAACGGACCCCTCATCAGGTCAAAGATGTGAGGATTTTCCGAGGGGTCTTTGTCATTTGCATTGATCGTAAGAAGCTCGAAGTTTTTCTTCTCCCGCCAGGAGAGGTAAAAGGTTTTATTTTGCTTTTGTGGAAATATTATCACAGGGTCGTTGTCATTTTCATTTTCTACAACAATTTCGACTGTAGCGGTAGCCGTGCCTGCTCTAGACTTACTATGGCCACCGGGTCCATCTGTAGCGAGAAGAGTAAATTTGAACTTATGTTCCACCTCTCTGTCAAGAGGTCTGGTGGTATTTAAAATGAACCGCGTCATAGAATACGCTCCATGTTCGATTCCGCTGCGGAATGGACTGGGCCAGATGGTAAATGGGAGAGGACCGTAGCTTTGCATTCCAAAACTAAGCTTTATCTCTCCTTCGTCCTTGTCTGTGACTAAGATCTCGCCTACAGCGTAACCTGTGGGAAGATTCTCCATCATATGAAATTGGTATTCAGTCCGTTGAAAGACTGGGTCATTGTCATTCTCATCAAGAATATGGATTCGGACTTCTTGGGTTGCAGACTTGGGAGGTGTACCATTGTCAGAAACCTTGACTTTCAAAACAACACTTGAGAGAGGTGGATCATATGCTTCCCTATCTATGTCCATACAGGTTGTAATATCTCCTGTCTTTTCGTTGATTTGGAAAAGGCTTAGAGGGCTAATTGTCCCACTCGGTGGCTCATCGGCTACAAAACTAAAAGTGAGACGACTGTTTTCGCCCTCGTCTAAATCAGAAGCGTTCAGGCGTGTTACTAAGCTTCCAACTGGCGCATTTTCAAAGACGAAGGGCCACTTATCGCCTTCTATGGACTTCAAACCGTAAGCATAATCTGCCGATCGTCTTAAATTTATGGTGGGTGTATTGTCGTTTTTATCACGAATCCTAATTTTTACAAAGGTGCTAGATGTTCGCGGAGGTTGCCCCATGTCGGCGCAGATGATCTTTACCTGACGGTAGGCTCCACCGTTTTCCATATCCTCTCGATCCAACGCCTTCCTCGTCAGTAACCGGTACTGCACCCTTCCATTTTCCTGGCGAATCTCATCCAGCTGGAATGGTGAATTAGTGGAGTTTATGGCTGTTGTCGGTCTAAGCCATAGCGCCATCACAGGCTGCTGCACACAGCTCACCTGCCCGCTTAGTCCACCGTCCCTGTCAGTCGCCTGGATGCTTGCGATGAATTGCGGCGGCGCAGCATTCTCCTCGATCTCCGCGTACTTAATCGCGAGAGGTGATGTGTTGGGCTCACTGGAGATGAAGTCCACTTCAATCTCTGGTGCCTCATCGTTAGTGTCTGTGACTGTGATCACAACCTGAGCTGTGGCGGTATGCAGGCTCGGTGAGGTCTGAAAGGGCTGACCGTGCACCATGCCACTACGGGGGCTTTCCTCTGGCATGTCGGTTGCAATTACTCGGAAGGAATATTCGGACTGCAGCTCATAGTCTAGAGGTTTTCGTAGGAATAGGTAGCCGTTGAGAGGGTTTAGATTAAAGTGTTCTTGTACTTGCTTGCTAGTTGCAGGTGCGAAGTAATAACCGACTTTTGAGTTTGCAGGGCCGTCTAAATCATCAGCAACCAGCTTCAGAATGGGGTCTTTTATCCACTTACTCTCTGGCACTGTCGCCGTGTATGTTACCATCCAATTGCTTAGTTGTGCTTTCGATGGGGTTAGTGAATAGGATTTCCTCTGTGGTCTAAACACGGGTCCATTGTCATTAATGTCTTCCACGTAGATGTAAACCTGTAGGACATCCTTCCTATTGCCGATCGGAGCAAAATCATTCACCTCTGAACCATCTAGGGCTCGGATTTTAAATGTGAATTTCTTCTTTGTCTCGTAGTCCAGTGACTTCTGCAACTTGAGGTAGAGACCAGTTATTCTGTTGAACGAAGAGGATGGTGACACCTTCGAGTAAATAAAGTTCTCTTCTCCACTGGCGGTTTCAGTCACTAGAGACCATTCACTAGGGATCTCCGAATCGGCCACGTAGGCATTGACGGAGTACTGACGGGTGTCGGGGTCACGTGCCAGAGGCAGGGGAAACCGCGCACCGACCTCAGTGGACTCCGGTACTGAGAGGTTCACGAACCCTGGGTCAGGAAATTCAGGTACGTGATCATTTCGGTCGACAATGAGGACCTTGACATCGATAAAGTGTGGCACACTTAGAGTGCTTTTCGACTGCGCTGTGACCTGAAAGGCCAGAATGCACTCTGACTCTTCGGGATCGGTGCAGAAGGCCTCGTGGTCAATGATCTGGAGGGTGTAAAGTTCACCAGACTCCGGGTCAATGCGGAACAGCCGTCCAGGAACTTTGTGTGGCCGAAAGATCTGGAAGTGCCACGGCTGCCGGTGGGCGCTAATAATGCTAGTGGGTGGGAATGTGATGGAGCTGTCTAGAGGGGGTTGCACCTTGCCAACCATGTGGTCTGAGGGAGTGTCATCAGCGAGGATGAATTCGTTGGGTAGATTTCCAAATGCACGAAAATCTGTTGAAATAACTGCGAAGTTGAAGAGGAGGAAGGAGACAGCCAAACTCAGCAGCAATAGCTGCTGGTGCATTGCAACAGATGAACTGCGAGAAAATGAAATCCGGATTTAGTTATCAAAGTATTATCTCGATAGAAAGTAGTCCAGATACTCGTGATTAATCGTTTCAGGACAAACTATCTGATTAGTTAAATATATTGCTCTCTTATTAAACTAATGTGTTTGGCAACGAATCGCCGCGAATGTTAGTCATTCACGTTTAAAAATTATTTCCTGTTTAAGAATAAATTTACAGCTAAATTTCAGTATGAGTTTGTATGTTTGAACACTTCTACAATCCCAATGAATCTCAGTCATAAAGAGAAGACTCAAACTAATTTATTGGAGTCTTTTAAAAAAGTTGCGTGTCTTATCAGATGGAGCTGCCTGCTCGTGCAAAAGCGCATCAGAATGAACACTCGGCTGTCCAAGATTTCTTAAGTCAGCCTTTAAAGTTAGGCCGGCAATATCGAAGCCATTAACACCTTTTTCAAAAATCTGAATCAGTGAAACCCAGCTTTACTTCTTTGACGTCCATGTAGATGATGCAGCCGATTTGCACCTACGTGTTTGTTATTTTACTGTTTTTTCCCCGCACATCGACTTACTTCGCCCTGTTTGTTCCACTAAAGAGTTATCACTTTCTTTTTACATCAGTCTGAATGAGAGCTTCATACTAATAAACAGTTGTTCCATCGGTTGTATTTCGAGCATATTTTATTTCCCAAAATTGGAAATGTTCCTCACTCCACAATGCTACTTTATTATGTGAACACAAAGTGTTTTCACTAATTTAAAGAACAGTCACTTGACAATTCGTAAGTAAGAATACTGAATGCGATTAATTGCCCTTCATTCTTTCGCTAATTCATTCCTATAATGCAGTTACAAAAAAGAGGAGGTCAGTGGGAGTACAGCATAAATTTGGCGGCGCATTTATAAGCTTTAATTTGCTCGGGTTTAAAGCATCTCTCGACATAAGGGTCAAACGAAGTCCACACCGCATGAGGAGCAATTCGGAAGTTGCTTTCTATATAACAACTAAAACTAGAACTTTATCAATTCTGAGTTCATTGCTTTTTTATTCTTGATCGTTAAAATTTGCCCAACAAAGCTATTTACAAGACATGATGCTGTACATAACGAGCAAACATCAAATCGGAACTAATAGCTTAAATCACTTGCACATCGTATTACATATCATTTACGACCATGTTATTTTCAGTCTTGATGATACCGACGAAGATCCCACTATCATGTACACCATAAAAGATTTTATACTTAAATAGTCAGGTCTAGTGTAGTCGAAAAGTGCGAACTTCACAAGGCTTCTGTGCGACCTTTTAGCAACTGCAACAGCAACGAGAGTTCACTTTGAGGCTTAGAGGGGAACTGCTAGGGTGTTTGGCCTGCGGTTTCGTAGTACAAACGTCAACGTCACGGAATAATTCCATCCCTTCTTAGATTTACCTTAGCAAAGCGCACACCTTCGGTTTTACATTTTAGAAGAAGTATGCCGAGTCGATTTGTCACCCCACCTTTAAATGCGATCTTGAAAAAAATATTTAGCACTTTGTCCATCCAAATAAGTCAAACGACAAATAGTTCTGACTTTGTAATCTCATCTACAGACGTTTGTATGTAAAGTGCAAGTGATTCGTATTTAATTTTATTCCATGCATCTGTTAAAACCTCACAATACAAAATCTAGCAACAATATAGATTCATTTTTGAATAATATTTGGTAATTTCGAATACTTCCTTTTGTTGGTGTGGTCACTTTCAGCCTACTTTATCAAGTGTTTATGACTTATTTTGTTGTTAAAAGAATATTTGGTGACACTAAAAGCATTTTACAGTTGCCAGCAGCTTACCCCGCGTAAATGCCACTTTGATTAACATTCAGCGTAGAGCTCTTGCCTTATCTGTGACACTCTTCACGCAAAGCTTTGGTCAACAATAAAACGATCTGCAGACATTTCTTTTTTCTTGCAACCAAACGGCAACCCTTGGACATATTAAAGAAAATTTACTTTTCAACTTGGAAAAAAGCTATTCCACAATCGGTTAAAGGGGATAGACATGAAAATATCCATGAGTGTGAGATTGTGAACTGCTGTGGGAGTCAACTTATAAGCTTGGCTCAAAATCGGGACTTGCACTACCTTGGCAGCGGAACACAACTACCGCCCCCCACCTCAGAAAAAGACCAAATGGGGAGCTAAGGACTTGTAACGCATTGTAAACACAGCACTTTTTGCTGAAATGGAAACTTCCATTTAAATTCAATACTTAACTGGCTATTTTTAGAGTATTCACTTCGCATTTTATTTGTGATCAGGTGTCCGTGCAAGCTAACGTACTAGAATGCCACGTACATTACATAACTACTGTGTGTTCCTAAAAATCCATTTATTGTGCTTTGCTTACTAAGCAACGATGTGCACACGGAAAAATCAACATTAGAGCGTCGTGGTTCATGTTTTGGCACCAAACGGCTGTGCGGTTCTATAGTGCTTTGGTCGGGGATCGTAGGGCAACCTGGACTTTAGGCCGTGTTTTAAAACTGATCTCATTGATTGCCGTCATTTTCCAAGCGAAGAGGAGAGGCGTTTATGGGTGACACGTTCGTGGCTTTGTGGGAGGGTGTGAAGTCAAGATAATATCAGCTCACCCCGTGCACACAACCACACCCACACGGTGGGTTCGCTATTGTGTTCACCAGTTGATGGTCCCCCACCTCACACTTTATCCCCGCTCCTCATCTCACGCTCCGCATGCACATCGTCCGGTTTATTTGTGTGCGTGTGTGCATGATTGTGGCATTATTAGCGAGGGTGGCATATGATAAGCATAGAGATTGCTACGAGCGATAGCACGCATTCGCACTTCTTGATTAATCCCTTGAATTTAAACGTGCAAAAAGGCATTCCATGCTATCCATGTGACGCGCTTGTAATTTGAATCGAACTAGAATGTCATTTGCCCCAATTTTTACTTCCGTGCCACCGAATGCTCCTTACTTTGCAAAATTATGATCAAGTAGAATCAAAGTCTGCCGTGGGATTAATCTCAAACAAACAGCAAATAATATTAATAGGAATAACCAGAGAAAATCAGCACCTCATGTATTTGAAGTAGAATACGAATTCAGTACCTCACTAGTGATTTTGATGGATATGCATTTGGCGTAGATTTTGTTAGCAGTAGATTTGCTAACATACGGGATAAATAGTGCCCTGACTTCAAAAGAAGACAGCCTACCCTAAAACCTAGGCTCGAAAGCCATATTACAAATCCCGCCCTTTTTCCAAAAAGCATTGAATAGTATCCAACTTGGGTTGAAAACAAAGGCTCACTACTTATGCTGAACTTGCAGAAGAGGCCCTGTGTGTAAGGTAAAATGGATGTCTGACTAATGTGGCTTCGAAGACTGGACCGGATTAGCTTGTTAGGAATCGGCATTAAACCTCGAACTAATTTCCAAAGTCTGCTTCTAAAGTAGTCACTTCATTTATGCCTCATTATTCTACTCCAAATCTGCACCACTTTCTGTATAACTCCTCGAATCCAAGTATTGCTCACCTTAATTGGTGCTTTTTTCGGAATAAATTAAGGAAAAGTGACGTTCATTGGAAGCTCATTGGAAGCTGTATGCACAAATCCTCTTCTGCCTACTCGAAGTATTTAACTTTGATTACATTTTTCACGGTTAATTATATTGTGCGACACGTTTGTTTGGGATGAAATGCACTAATCTACTGGTAACTTAATATTGTGAATGACAGCCGGATGTGTAATCTGCTGCTGTTTAGCGAAAATAATAACTCGCATGCAGTTGGCGGCTTCAAATTCAACTTTACGCAGAAGACTTTCAAAAAGCCTTGCATTAAAAATGATATTTTCGTCTTGGAGAAAAGGAGAAGTGCTGGTTTCGCATGATTAGTTGAGCCACCAGCCAGGCCGACCACGTGAAGGCTAAAAATGTGTGCTGATAATTGGAACAGAGTATAAGCTGAAATTGGATTCCAACCATGTGAAGACCACATTTCTGAACCTTTTGGAGATAATATTTGGATTTAGCAAACAAAAAGTGAACTCATTTACTCGCAAGTAATTTTTCCAATGTGCTAACATGTCAGTCATGGTGTCCGAAGCATGTACTTTTGACCCATAGAGAGAACCAAAATCCTGGGAGATCCACAGAATGTCATTACAACTCGGTAGATAACCAAAAGAAGCTTCCTTGATACGAACGCTCCAATCACTGGTAGCAAATGAATCACCCGTTCCCTTGATTGTTTTTGCTCATCCGTGGTGGCGTGAGAAGTAATTGACAGAGTCACTTACGAAGCCACCTGGTTCGAAGATAAGATAACAAGGGCAAATATTTGCCCAAGTGCAAGAAAATACTTTACCTCTATTGCTTTGATGGATAGTGTTTAGCATTATTACCATCGTTTTTGAACTCAATGCACTAATTTCATCTGATTTATGTCGTTTCAAGCAGTGAAGAAAGAAAATGCAAATTGAGAAAAATAAAGACCGCTTGAAGGAAAAAATTAGTCAACGAAGGAGGCTACCTTGGAGATCGGAAAAGAAAGGTAAAAAAATGAACTTGGGGTTTTCGCCTATTATAATAAAACACTTTTTCTTTTACGCAAAAGTGCATTCTCGAGTACTGCTTTACACAGTTCCTCAAAGGTAGTGTCTACATTCCTCGTCTATTACCCACAAAAGAGTTGATAGGTATATTTTTTGTGTTTAATGAGCAATCAGTAGCCCATTCGAGAACTTCCGTCCGTAAAAATTCGAAGTCATTCATTTTAAGCATAGCTACACGTTTCCATAGTGGTGCAAGAGGTACCGAATTAAAAAATTCAACTGTGGGTAGTATATTCTGAATTAATAGCTTCTTATAATCACACTAAATTCATAAATCTACGTAAATAAGTTCTGTTATGTAATTTGCGTGAGGAGAATATCTGTTCGTTTGTAGTCGTGGCTGGAACGTTCAGCCTATTTGATTAGAGGAAACTCGGTAGTGGCTTCCAAAGCGGACTCTTCTTTGGTGAGCATGCTCACTTACCCAGTAGTCCCTGTATGAGAGTCAATAAAAAGCTTCAGAATATTTAGTTAAAGGGCCCAATCATCTTATTTCCTATAATAGTTTTCATTATTTTTTTAAGCTTACCATTTCCTTTTTTTGTCGATAGAATTGTATTGTACACCAACAGTAAAGAATGTTGGCTATTTGTTCAATTATTGGGATTATTTTCAATCAGAGTTCCTTGTATTTTCAAACTTTATAGCCTAATTATTCTCACGAAAAGCCGATAATCGCTTGGGCGTTGTCTAGTAAACCCAACTATACCTTCCACCGAAATAGGATACATTTATACTCCAAGGAAAAAGAGAAACACCAATCCTCATTTGAATATCCTTCAAAAAATAAAATTGACCAAACGCGGTGGTTTTTCCAGTATAAAGAAAAGGGGGTGAAGAAGATGGAGACAGAGATACAGAACGAAAATACAGCACATCGCATACCAATCCCCTCATTCTCTTTGAAATGACGCTGCTCTCGATGCGGTCTTCCCTGTAATTATGCATCCTTACTCCTTCCCCCTCAACCACGGACGCGCATACAGATGTAGAGTTACGGAGTTGGACACTTTAGTGTAAACCTGTTACAAGGCATACATGATTCTAATATCTGTGTGGGTCCGTTGTAATTACAGGGTCTTTACACATTTAAATCTCAACCTACTTCTTCTGAATACTGTTTGGCAATTCTGGTTTCATGTCAAAGAGCCTAACTGCAATCGCCTTGGATAACTCGCATTAACTATTTTTTCCTTCCTCTTGTAGGGCCTTTAAGAATCTCGGTGTGAGCTAGTATTCACAATAAGTATACGATAGTAGATTCCCCCAAATCTTCTACTGATTCGCCTCTGTAGCACAGCACCTCGCGTTTACTTGGCAGAAATTCAAATACTTGTATCATAATATAGAGGGGTTACTATTTTCGGAGATATGGTTGGATAGACTGTTTAGGTATTTCTCCATTGTAATCTTTGCGTGTTCAGTCCCATTCTTGAATTGGTGAGTAGTAAGTCAAGGGCATTTTAAGCCTAGTGCGCTTTGAACGAGTGGGTTTAGCTAATGAATCCAATGGAGCATTTAGGCATTTCTAGAGTTTATGGGTATTTTAGGGACCAAAGAAGTATTTGCCTAGTTATGAGAATTCTGGCTGATGGAATTTTTACTAAGACGCTTAATCCAACCTGAGACAGATCAGTCGTCATAAAAGGTGTTATTTTGTGCCCTAAACACATCTGCCTTGATCTCTGTGCTGGAACGGGGATCCAATTTTCCTATGCAAAAGCGATCGGAGTGAACAAGGGGGAGAGTAAGATGTAGCATCTTTTTCATGCCGACCTTGCACCGATCCAACGCTGCAGTGCCCTGTACGGAGAGGTGATGGGACGGAACGCGACGCGAGTAGTGCTGACCAGGCCACATTTATCTCTGCGTTTACATCTACCAGCCCCAGTCAGCTTCAAAAGGGAACCGGCCTCTCACAAGTCCCATCTTTATGAGATTTGCAAAATAAATTTCACCTCACTATGTTCAACTTTAACTTTGTTAAACAGCGTCAAACAAGTTTCTTCAGAAGATTATTTCCGATTCCTTACAAATATGCACTCGCAGACCAAAGTGTTTTCAAAAGACAGTGAAAACCAATGTCATATATGCATCAAATACCAACAGCTTGGTAAATAAATGTCCCTTGGATACTTTGCCATACTTTTAAATTTGCTGTGCTGAAAGTGAGAACACCATTTTAGCTCATGGATATCTCCCCTGTCTTAATGATCCGGGTCGGAGGTACAATTAGCTCCTTGATTCACACACGCGAGCTCACTCCTACGAAAAAGAACCCCAAATTTCCACTAGGGTCTGCCTTGCTACTGCCCTTCGATCTGTTCGTTTATTGACCTCACTGAAATAAATGACTGTGCCATAAGAATGATGAATTGAGCTCCACAGTAGCCAGTCTGTCTTTCTGACAGCGCCTAGCTAATGGTGTTGTCGGTAGTCAGTTCGATAGCTTTCATCACCTTCCTACAAAACCGTTCGTTCGAAATAATGGATTTACGAACAAGACAAAAGTATTTTAATTAAAAAGAATTGTGTCAAAGATATGTTGCACATCAGTAAATAGGAGTGAGAACGAAGGAATGAAATTAATTGTGAATAACAAAAAATATTTGGCATGGGAGTTAGATTAAATACTTTGCTCATATTTTGATGAGTGCGCCAACTTGATTTTTTAGCATTATAAACAATCAGAGAAACAAATTTGGAATTGTACACAACCGTTAAATCTTCGAAATAGGTGCACACCTCCCTCTACACTAGATTCTAGGCGAGCACTTTGGTGAAAGTGCTTCCAACACAAAACCGCTAAAAATTTTAAACAAAAAATAGGATTTCTCAGTGAATAAAAAGATTCTATTCAAGTACAAATACTGCTGAAAGGTTTGGCTCCAGAAGCGGTTGGAAAGTGCGAGAGCGAATTCGAGTCTGTAAATCCCCATTGGGAAGCCAATATACTTATATTGACAGTGGACATGAAATCAGCGAGCTACCTTTGTACTTCATCCCCCTGTTTGCGTGACCCTTTGGCCGATTGTCAACTGATATATTTCTGTTTGCTGTCGACTTGGGCTTTTAAACGCACATGAATGCCACACCACACAGCGTTAACTCACATGCATACCCACATAGGGAGGGAGGAAGATTCCGCGTGCTAAGAAAACCGTGGTGGTTTAATGGTTTCCTATCGTGTCGCTCATTTTAGGCGCCTCCTCCATCCCTTCCGCTTTCGCCTCCAAGCATCGATTAACACCGGAACATTTGCGAGCAACCCAGACTAGACATCCTGCCAAAGCGGTAAATGCGTCAATTTGGGTAAGTTTTGTGCATCCCCAGACGTAAATTGGAGGCAAGCATTGAAATAGCAATCGAAAGCCATTATCATATGCAGTTTCCATCTCGGTGAGACTAGTCTGAAGTGAGGTAATAGGGCTGTCTTCGGAGTAGAATATCTTTTCCTGCCAATGCTGCCATACAATGGTCAAATATGCCACTCGAGCGAAGAGCGTAATTCTGATAATTCAGAGCCGCTGATTTGGAATTGGATACAGTAGATGAAATTAAAGAAGGAAATGTTTTCATATCGTTTAGTTTTAAAAAACTAGAGCCCCAACTGTGTTCTTTAGAATAAAGGACTATCCATCTATAAAGAAGCATAAATTTCGATAATTTTATTAATCTCCTGTGACAACCAATGAAAAACAAAAGCCCATTAACTAAAATCAGTAGCTTAGATATATAATGAAATCGATGAATCCGAAATTCCCAGTGAACTTAAAAATGATATCCCTTATATGTTTATTGACTTTACAAATAATAGAATAGAGGCTCAGGAAGAGGTCCAACACTACCCCAGGATAAAATATAACTAGCTCTCCCGTTGCATTCCCGAACCTCAAGCCTGAATAGCGTCTTTTCCGCATGTTTAAATTTTTGGATCCTCTTAAGTCTCATGCATGTAAGCATTGCCCCATTTCATCCAAGGACTACATTTACCCACTGTGTAGTTGGATAGGAAGGTCTCTGAAAGTAGAATTTATCTGAGCTTTACGATATAGTTTGCAAAAAGCTGTGAAACCGAACCCAGTAGAGTCAAGTTTTGCTAATCTTGTCAAAATATTTTAACTTCAATTGACGCTATGGCCGATTCTTCTCTTAGTGACATATGCAAGAGCGTCACATTTCAATGACTTGGAGATTAAACTACAATACCACTTTGAGGCTGTAGTCTTTATCAAGATGATCAGCTAAAAAAAGGCTTCGCGAGCTAAAATTTGCATCAGTCACGTATTCATTTGAACACTCCACCCGGGGGTGTGATGGTGGTAAATCGTTTCTACTGAGGGCAACAATAATCATCGTAATTAACGACCGCGTTTACTGTGACAGTTTATTAAACCGTTTCGCATTTGTGATTTCCTAGTCCTTTAAAACTCGTCAACTAAGTCTTGTGGGTAAAATGTTGCTAGCTGTTTTCTTTTACAGCACTTAGCAGTAAAACAGTCTCATGTTAGGTTGTTTTTGTGTTAAAATTGAATGTGTGCGTAAGAATGAAGGAGCATTATTTAAATCGACATTCATTAAAAATGAATTATGTTCAGTGATGTTAATGCTCGAATTCCCACCGCTCAAATGGTCTGTTAATTTATGCGTTACATTTGAAGCGGATGTTGCTTAGTTATTATGATAAGGAAATTTCGCATTTATATAATTTTATGCATTTAGTTGTGCATCTATCGGTAAGCCTTTGGTAGTGCCATCTAGGCTAGGAAATTTTCATTACACCACTCATGTTCCCTTCAACTTTTGCTGTAACCTACATCTATAACAGGTGTCAAGATATCCACATTTTTGGGAGTTCCCAAGCTGCTTAAATGCAACTGTACGCAGTCGTTGATGGTGTTTTTCGACACCGCGCAGATAAGTTTATTTCCTTTCACCGCTTCTAAAGACGGTCTCATTAATGGATTAATGCTCACGCTTCAAAGTTTGATTTCTTCAAATTTTTCAGTTTTCCGCCTCACTACCCTTATAGCGTCCTATCCACGAAATGCACCCACGTCTTCTCTCATACGTGCAGGTTTTACTTTAACCTTATGGGATTTCACCCACTACTGAATATGAAGTTTTGCCGCTTTTACGCAGCCCAAATTCATGTAATATATCCTTGTGTGCCACTTTAGATTGCATACTTTATTTAAAGATCAAATAACTTGAGCAAGATTTTTTTTAGGTTTCCAGCGATCACATATGTGGCTTTTACACTTGACTTCTATAGAATCTATTCCCCGGAAAAATAATTCAGTTATTAATAAAAATAGGTCTACCAAAAGCGGATGCTTAAACATCAACAAGTGGCCTTCTTCACTTTAATTCACCCAAAATAAGTAGAATGAGAGCAGCTTCCGATTTTGACTAAATGGAAGACGCGAAATTTCCCTAGGGAAATTCTATCCAAGCTGCCATTAATTTCTAGTGACAAATCACCTATTAGCTTGAAGTATCTTGGCTCATGTGGGCAGGCATTTTGGTTGGAATTTTTAAAAGGACTCATTAGGAATTTTTTAACTTTCCAAACACGTCTTAAAAATCCTTATTTTTGCATCACTTTTTTTCCCATTAATAGGAGGGCTAGAAGTGAGTATTGAGAGTCAAGCTGTCCCTTTACGAAATGTGACAAGGATCAAAGACAAACGAAAATTACATGAACATATTTTTACCTTGCTAATAGGTAGCTTTTGGTTTCTATTCGACCTCGTAATCAGTCATTTAGGAATGAATAACAAACTTACTCAGCTGGTAGCGAAGACGGAGTGTAATATTCCAGTAGCTTGTTAGAACGGACCAACAACGAGGCCCATGGAGCAGACGTGGCTGAGGTCCCCTTGCGTATTGTTGAATGGGTGGTTGGATGGGTCGTTGAGACGGGTCTGCTAAGTGCGCTGTGGGTGAGCGCGAGGTGGGACAAGTAGGTCTCGTGCCTCCATCCTCTTTCCGTCCGTCAGTCCGTCCACCCACCAGCCAGCCCACGCTCCCCTCCATACAGCCAATCAGGGCAACCCACACACGCGCACTTGTGCATGCACTCTCAGTTGTCGCCACACGCCCATATGCGTGGATGGCCACGAGGCCACAGACATCTATAGGTTTCCACGTTCATGCGCACTCTCACCTGGTCCCTTAGTCGCACCGTCATCTCTTTGTGTATGTGTGTCAGTGTGCACGTGGTTCCAACCACAAGCTCACCATTGCTGAAAGAACAAGGTTCTGCCTAATGGGAAAACACGGGAAGAATATTCAGAAGTTCCATCTCACTATTCTGCCATGCCAATCCAGATTTAGATATCACACTCCTTAATACTCTTTCGTAAAACTATAATAATTTTTTCATAAACCAACTTATCCCATAATTTTCTTTTAATCCACGGCAGTACCCAACTTCACTAGAACAAGCCTATTTATTTTGATGTATTACCACATTCAATGCTTGAACTCCATGGTTAATAAGTGTTTGAAATACAGATATACTGCATTTCAAAAGTTGCTTCTCTTCAGATGGAACCATTAACAAGTTAGAGGAATCCCCGAAAATTATTCTTATAACTCACAAATCGCACAACAAGGCAGTTTGAATCGGTAGATTCGCATAGAGGCTTTTACTTGACCGTTTTTGCTTGATACTACGTTGTTCTCAGCCCCTTCTCAATGATGGCTGCACAGCATGGCTAAACAAATCTAAGATTTCAATGTCAGCTGGGCTAGTTGCTGGTGGCAGCCTGAGCTGCATTCAGAATACGATGTCGAGTCAACTCTTAGTTTCACTTCGGGGCAGGTCAGTGTTAAGTTGTAATCGATGACTTGATGAAAATATTTCCTTCAAATGGGAATTTTCTAAGGTTCATCGTCATATTTGTAGCCTTATTTATGACCTTTTTGAGGAAATTGAATTCACAATTTTACAGCATTACGCCAATTAGAAGTGTCCCGTTTGTGTGAGATTCGACATATTTTGAAGAGGTCCTAGATGCCATCATTAAGACTCTCCGGAATTTATAGTGGTGCATTCACTTCACGAATTAATTAAACCTCTTAGTGCACTCGTGGCAAAGTTGCTGTAGAAGCGACTCCCATTTCTGATGATCGCACAACTGCAACAGCAACAAACGTGCTTGCATTGAATTTATCGCGTTCCAAGTGGCGTCAGTTGTTCCTGTGAGCTTTTGTAAACCCATAGAGGTTGGCAGTCATAACCCCGATGCCGACGCCTTACTTGTGCGTCTACTAAGCATACTAAACAAGGAGGAAAGTGGCAACTGTCAGTATTTTGCCCTGGCAGTTTAGTACCAAAAAAACCCCTGTGGAGATGCTTATACTTTGTGCACGCCACCCACTCATCCCCTCTTAAATGGAGGAGGGCCATAAGCACTCCTTGCGAATTATTTACTCGCTATTGGATTTACCCGGTTACTCTTTCAATAATTATTCCTGCAGCAAGCTGTACAAAATAAATTTATTTCTTATCCATTCATATGACTGCCGCAAACACTCTTACATTTAGCGAACTCTAAATATGTATTATTTTTCGATTGTTTTACCTCAAATGTTCTCACGTTTTTATGTGCCCAAAGGTGTCCTTGATTAACATAGATGCCGAATACTACTTCCTCCTAGTTATGCCATGTACAACATTCACAAATACATTTGTTATGCAAGAAAGAGCTGCAGGAGTTATTTAACCGATCTCATTAATGGCTGAGGAAGGGACAGAAAGCTTAATGTCATTTTCGCCAGTACCTTGTACTCGAGAAAATATTCAACTTACTGTGTATATATCTTCAGGTTCGCGATGCAGAGTTCTTAAGTTTTGAAGAAGCAGGCAAAGAGGGGATAAAGCCACATTGTTTCCAAACGAAATATCAAGCCTGGATGTAAATTTTTAACTCTGAAGCATATATTTTGCAGGGAAAAGGGAGGCCTAATGGTCGTATCTGTTAGATCAGAACAAGGCGCCAACTGGTATAATTAGGACCTTCATCGCATTCCTTCGAGAGTTGTGGCCAGGTGGATGATTCACAACTCCTTGAGTCTTGTACACCGCTCGAAATACCAGTGCGAATGTGAGTGTTGAGGGACATGTAGTTGCAGTGTTAGGTACATGTGGAAGCATTTTTAATAAAATAATTTAAGCTACCAATTTACGGCAGCAGGCAGAAAGTTAGAAATTCCAGTACCTAGTGAGTGGATATGAATAGGTGGGCATGCGAGATCCTAAGTTGTCTACATTTCTATCGCCGTAACCTTTGCTTGCTTTGGCTCTTTGGCTCAACAATAAAAGTCCTGAACTGCTCTAAAAAGTTTTTCAAAGGCTACGCTGGAGGGCGGAAGAAGCGTGAGACCATCCAGGATAAGTGATGGTTTACCATCATTGGCATTGCGTTTGCTTCGGAATTTCTCCGGATTTTCCCCAATATCATCTCCCATGCGCACATGCGTGCTATTGCCAGGTGGTATTCCTTAAATATTCATGGAGGCTATCCTGACAAACCGTTATTTAAATTTGTGCAAGGAATTGAAGTAATCATGTATCTATTGCGGAATCCGGGAGATGAGTGATTTAAATTATCGTAACAGATGGAATTCCGAAAACACTTCTTGCCCCCTCCCATATTTCATTTGAACGAAACACTTATTAAAAACTAGAGCATTTTCTGTTTTACAACTAGTAAAATGTTTGTCAAATAGCGATCCTGTTGCATTTTTGATGGATGTACTGGGAAGTGCGTTCCACCGGACTAAAATAGATCATTTCAAATGACACACCATAGACACCTTACAAGTTTTCAATGTAAAAAGCATCAACTCCGACCAAATTTCTTTTGATTAAAAAGAACTCCTCATTGTGGAAATAAAACACCTTATTTTCAATATTTGGGTTTCTAGTGAGAAGGAAAGTCTAAGAGAGGCTATAAAGTTTAAGTGAACATGATCCTTGTTTCCATATTCAAAATGAGGAAGCAGTCTAGGCTGTAATTCGTCCAATTTTGCCAGTATAGTATTACCCATGTGTGAATTGAATGGTATGCTGCAAATAGAATCTCTGATTGGATGACAGCGGGAATGGTTATGTCGAGTCAAACCCCCTTTTACTCGTAAAAGCCACATATCACCGACATGTTTTATGGCTTCTCAATAATTGTTTTCTGTGTTCATAAGAACGTTGTTAAGAGTATCTTAGAAATTCTGGGTTTGTTTTCAAAGAAGTGGACTACGAGTTAATTATAAAACTCCAATTTTTCAATTAGAACTTTTACCAATGAAAATTTATTGCATTTGTTGATGTGCCCTTGGCATTTGACTCTTATACCTCGCCTCAGCATGTTTTCTGTTCATTCCAAAAGCCCTCAACGAATTTTTCGTTTTCCTTTTAGCTCCGTCTTGGGGTTGGATTAAGGCTGTACATAGCCATTCAATCGGTTTCCCATAATCCATCCAAGCCACCACCATAGGAACGATAGAAATGGATCTTGGAATCATGTCTTAAGAAACTAAATGAACCGGTTGCATTTTGGCTAAAACATTACTGGTGAGTTGGTTAGTAGCTGTTACACTTTTAAATCACTTTTGTTTTTATATCGTTATTAACAAATATTTAAATATTCCAACGAATTGATTTCCACTTACAATAAAATCGCTTCAAAATACCTGTGCTTATATGTTAATTGCATAGTGCTTTTATCAACTGGGATTGAACAGACAATGGGAAGATCCCAATGACAACCACAAAGAACTGCGGAATTTTCACTAATTGAAATGTCACAGTCATCTACCATTGGTAGTGCCTCCCAATTAGAATGTTCAAAAAAATTGTTGTTTCGCCAACCTGAGGGATGCTCAGGTAACTTTGGAGGTATAATAAACAAAAAAGTCAGCCACAACCCATTTGTAATTTTTTATAAAACCTCGACAATAGCTAGATGAAGGGCACACTATTTTAAGGTTCCGTGAAACTTTGATTTCGGTTATTTTAAGATCGCAAAAATTAAATTCCATTTATTTCTAAGATAGCCTTAGCTTCATTTAACGGATTTCACAAGTCAGATATACCACAAAAGATTGAGACCTTAGTACTGGCACAACCCTTAATTCGGCCATTCTGAAGCATCATAAGAAGCACTTAGTATTGCCTGAATTACTTAAGCTTCAAAGCGTTAGATTGCAGGCAAACTTATACTGAGTTCTGATGAAAAATGTGACGTCTGAGATTCTTGTTTAGCAAATGGTGTGAACCTTGGTGTTGAGTCTAAGAACGATTTTGACCACCTACTCCACGCGAATGGAAAATGCACGAAATCAGAGGTTATGTATTTGTTGCCTTAGGGACAGCCAACAAAGTCCACGTCTCGAATTTCCCTACCTATTTTATTGGAGCTTTTAAAGTGATACAGTCGTTAGTCACATAGTAATCCATTCATTTGTTCAATTTATTTATTTACAATCTTGCAGAAAACCGCTTAAGCATCGGCAAATTGTGTAATCTCTCTTGAGATGCAAGGTGGCTAATACGCTATTTATACTTACTGCTTAGGCCAAATTTTTGTAGTCTGTTGGTAGTAAACGTTTTTGCGACCAGATGAGGCACCCACTACAAACATCGTCAAACAGATCCGCGAAAATTCACACGCTCTCCGCCCATATCAGTGAAATTGCCGGCAACCACCAGACACCTTATTCCTGGGATCTTTGCCTCCTAAAATGCAAGGTAAACAACGGCTACGGATTGAATATGTGTATCACTTTAAACCAGAAAATTCTAAAAATTCATCTGAGAAGTTGAGATTTTTTACATAGGTAATCCATTTTAACTACAAATTTTGAATTAGGAAAAGTTAATTCATAGAGTGTACCTTCCCTGTGAGCTCTTTGAAAATCGAACGTTGCACGCAAACTGATTTATCATGGATGAACTTAAGCTAAGGCTACTCAGACTGCTAGATGTCACTCCCCTGTACCTGAGCAAATAACTGAGGCTAATTACATGGACT